AGAGAGAGAGAGAGAGAGAGAGAGAGAGAGAGAGAGAGAGAGACCACGTCGAACGCGCCGCCTCTCTCTCTCTCTCTCTCTCTGTCTCTCTCTCTCTCTCTCTCTCTCTCTCTCTCTCTCTCTCTCTCTCTAGCGCGTTTGCTAGTGTGCCTATTGTGATAAATGGGAATGAATCTTCCGCCACAAGGCGGCATGATTCATTCGTGTTTTTCTTTTTCTTTGGACTGCCCACCCGTGAAGGTAGAGAGAGAGAGAGAGAGCACCGACACATTGCACAGCTGGCCGCGTCAAACGCGCCGCCTCTCTCTCTCTCTCTCACGGGGAACAATGCAGTGTCGGACTTGCTTTTTCCGTTTTTTTTTTTCTTTTCTTTTTTTTTTTTCACGTATGAAGTTTTCTTTGTTTGTTTTTTTGTTTTTATTCTCATTTCGTTCCTATAAAAAGTTTGTAAAATGCCTTGTCACTCATCTACCGGTAGTCGCAGGCTCGACGTGGTAGCCGTAGGCTACGCCTACCGGTAGTTGCAGGGACGGGCCTTGAACACCTATAGGTGCTGGTGGTTTAAAGCCCTTCAGATATTCTTCCCATACTGTAACATCATCATCCTAAGTCAAGCAATTCTGGTGCTGCTCGAGAGAACAAGAACGGAGGGCTCCACGACCCCCTACCCAGTTGTCTTTGCTTGGTATCGTGGCTAGTCCTTTAAATAGTGCCCTCTTCAGTTTGGCCACAAACATGGACAACCTAGGCTGTAAAGTATTATTCACATTCTTGAGAGACACGGAGCCTTGTCCCAATTTAAAAAAAAAAAAAAAAAAAAAAAAGACACGGGTATGAAGCCTACCTGTGAACACCAAAACGCCACATGTCCTTCTTCGTTTCGGGGGAGATCCTTTCGAGTGTGGAGGCAGGAACAACTTGTTGTTTCTGTACAAGACAACTGCCTGTGGTTATGTAACCTGTCAGCAACAGACTTTGTTACCTGTCCATACTATCTTCAATCTCGATATCATGAATTCTGCCAGGAGTTGGTCGGAACAGCATTGGCAAACCAGTGAACCACCGCCTTGGCTAGATCACACACTTTCCCTTTCCTGATGCGGTCATCATAGGTGATCCGAATGACTATTGGAGCCAGACAACGAAAACCGTAAGTTTTTGTTAGAGCCCGCCCTACTACCCCTTTGAAAATAAACTTTGATTGTTCTCTGTGGAACATGTCGATAAAATTGTATAATTTAATTAAATTACTTAGACCAGTCTTATATAGCCCTTCCCTGGTGCTTGGCACTTCCGAGCAAGGTGGCCAAAATGTCACGTCTTAGAAGCGAGAGACTACTCCGGCGTCTTATCCTTAGGAAGCAAAAAGCACCACCTGCACAAAATTCTCATTTTAGATTTTTGAAGATGGTTTTCTTTCCTTGAAATTCTATTACTAACCAACCAAAATTCCAACATAATTTACTCCATGAGTCAAAAAAACATTCCCCACCAAAGCTTGCAACCACCGTATGTAATTCCCCGCTTGCCAAAATTTCATTAAGCAATCTCAAAAGGGAGTAAGAAGCCGTCGAGGGAAGCCAAGGGTTCGGAACAGGTAAAGATACGGGAGAGGTTTTCCATCTAATAAGCTTTCCGGAATTGGTATCCTTCTGTTCCAAGTTCCTTAGGCTATGTAGGAAGGATGAGCATTCTCTTCTCCCCCTTCTATGACATAGTTTTTTCTTCTTCCTAACACAATTAAGGACCGGTGACCATTTGGAGGTAAGAGTGCTTTCGACCTCCCTGATCTCTTCCTCTGGAGGAAAAGCGATTGGGATTGCTACATAGCTCGATGAGTGCTTGCGCTGGAACCATTTGCGCAACCTACGGTTTCTGCCGTCACCAGACTTCAACGATCTCCTAACATGTTCCTCCCATCTGACTCCTAGAGATCTTGTCGTAGATCCAATGTAAGTAGCCCTGAACCAGGGTGAGATAAGAATGTATGCGCATGGTCCGTTGAACTCACAATCCCTCTTCCCTTCTTGTAGCATGGTCATCCAATCAGTCACAAATTTGTCTGCCCATATCAGATGTTGGGACAGAGCTAGAAACAAAACCAAGAATCTCATCAGCTGATCGTAATCTCGTGCCATACCCCCCCGCCAGCCACTCTTCTTTCTTCCGTCCCTCACCTTCTCTAGATCTAGCCAAGTGGAGGGGATGTGTACGGACTATTAGGAGGGGTTCTCCTCTCGGGTATCGTCCTCGGATTCTTCTTCCTCAGAGTCTTCGCCGTATGCGTCGATGGCCCGCAGACGAGCCAAAGCGGCGCTCGTAATCTTCTTATTTACGTACTTGATCTTGTCTTTCTTGCATAGCTCCTCCAGTTCGTGCTTGGTCTTAGCGAATAACACATCTGCAAGCTCTTCCACATATTTCTTTCTTCCTTCCTTCCTAGGTCCGGCCACGGCAGGCTTTGACAGCTTTCTTGCCCCTGATGACGTGGTCGAATCCCAACTCCTGATTGGTTGGTTTGTTGATAGTGATGCCATTGGATCGCCTCCTAGTACCGGTACCGGCAACCGAAGAAAACATCCCTGCCAGCCTGGCGGAGAAACCTCCCCCTGTGGGGGTGTCATTCCGCTCGGACCGTGACCTGGATGGACCAGGCTCAGTTGATGACACACGGTGGTTAGGTGCTGATGGTGCAGGAGGGCGTGAAGCCGGAGAAACGGGAGCGTGGAAGGTTGGAGGGGATGGAGGAGGATGTGGTGCCGGAGGGCTAGGAGGAGGGACAGGAGGTTGGGGTGCAGGAGGGTTGGGAGGAGAGACAGGAGGAGGAGCTTGTGCGGGAGGTGCCGGATGGGCTGCAGCAGGAGCCTGCGTGTTTTGAACAGCCGCTGAGGACAACCCCGCGACCTGCTGCCTAATCGCTTCGAGGCAACAGAGCATTTGATGGAACATAGCCGCCTGAGCCTCTTGAGCTTTTCTTACAGTATCGATGTCCATTCTGATGAGGCCGGTATCCAATGGAGTAGTGACATTATCAACTCTTGGTCTGCCAGAACCTTGTTGCTGCGGGTTCTCTGAACTCCCTGCCATGGTTCCTTGTCTCTCTTCTTGCTGTCCCTGCTTTCCCCGCCCTTGCTGTTCTCCCCCTTCCTTCACTGGAGGATCAACTTTGTCCCAGTTCTTTTTACTGCTTTCGGCTGATCCTCCCCGCTTTTTCGCCTCAATTTCCTCCATCTGTTCTTGAATAATTTGTGCCAGTCTTGCTTCTCGATCAGCCTCTCTCTTCTCCTCCTGTTCCAATCCTCGTTGCTCCTCCTCCCGTGCCAGTCTTGCTTGCTCCTCTCTCACTCTTCGATCTTCCTCATCTCGTCTCCTTTCCCTCTCTTCCCACCTTTCGTTCCAAATCTCTCGCAGTATCATGAGGCCTTCCCCCTGTCCCCCGGTATCTCGGGGCCTATTGTTCCATCCGCGCGACCCGTTCCCGTTCATGCCGCCACGTGGCTGTTGGTACGGAGCAGCATTCTGCGGCGGTTGATACGGGATGAATCGGATGATAGCATTGGAGACGTTCGGTGCTGCAGGTGGAGCTTGCAGCAGCGGTGGTGGCAGTGGAGCTTTGATTCGCTGAGCTTGCTGGCCTGGAGCTTGCTGACTTGGCATTTGCAGAGTTGAGGTAGCGGTAGGATAGGCCTCCCTTGCATGTATCCGCGACTCACGCGGTGGTTAACACGCTATGCAAAGGACGTGACAGTCGACGATGCAGTCGCAAAAGTCGAGCATGAGCCCGGACCAGTGCGCGAGATGGGGTTTGGCAACCAAAGTACGCAACAGAAGGAGAGGAGGTAGCGAGGAAGAGGAGGAGGAAGGAAGAAGAAGAAGAAGAAGAAGAAGAAGAAGAAGAAGAAGAAGAAAGGAAAGGGGGGAGAGAGGGAGGAGAAAAAATAGACCAACTCGCAAATAGCGCAGTAAGGGCTCCACTTCTGAAAAATATAGTCACAAAAATATGGAGTGGGGCCAGACGATTAATCCCGACATGTTTCGGCCACAAACGCTATTGAGCCTGGGACCTGCATGTACAGTCCCTAATTGCCTAGCATAGTGGTATGATATTTTCGGCTGGTAGTTTTAGGCTTTCCTTTTGGTCGGCGGACAATTTCTGCTATTTTTGTTCTTGCCTGGACTTGAACCGGTTAACAGTTGTTGTTGTTGTTGTTGTTTTCGTTTTTCACTGGTAGTTTTAGGCTTTTCGTTTCTTTTTTTGGTAGGCGGACATTGTAGGCCCAGGCAAGTAGCTGCAACTCAAAAGTGACGAGCTGGGGAAAGCCCGCATTCAGAATTTATTTGTCATATATTTATATTTTTGTTGCTTGGTGAGACTAGAGAGGAGCTTCTTTCAGCACTGCTAAAGGAGAAAGCCTCAAGGCTCAAGGAGACAGAGAGAGTGCAGCCATAGCCAGCGAGAACT